TTTTAGTCTGGGGAGCCCCAAAGAGAATTCCTCCAGCAGGGGCATGGCACCTTTGAGACCCTGATCCCCGTTACTGGTATTTGACATGAGAAATTTGAGGTGCATATCCGCCATATACAGTTCCCCTATATAACCCTTGAAAGGGGAGGATGTTAGAAAGTTCATTTTTCTTAGACCCATGTCTAGTCCAGTCGCATCACCTTCTGTTCTTTGGCACTAGAGGGAACTAGTTGCTTCCTTTGGACTGAGATTTTTTGCTCCCTCATCTCAGAGTTGGCAGTGCCATGGCACAAGTAATGGGGGAAGTTGCTCCTGGTCCCCTCGTGTAGCAAAGATGAGGAACCTAGGACCCAACGCTTCCCTCCAGGACTTTCTATCTGGCCCTCAGAATTCTCCCCAGGCCACACCCCTCTCTGGCGAGCTGCACATATCCTAAGTGCTTTGGCCTGACCAGAATGTGTCCTTTCACTCTGATAATGCCTTTTGCTTACCTGGATGGGGGATAGAGAGGCGAGTGTGGAGAAACTAACCTCCAGTACAAAGGTAGACATCTATATTTGTTGCTCTGCCCACTTTTTGCCCAGTGCTTTAGTTGGGAAAAGTTCATCTGCCATCTCCCTGTCCTGCAGAAAGGACTATCTGTTCACATGGCTTTAGCGGTCATTTCTTGAAGCAAGGCATGATGACAGTGTGTTTCAGTTCTCCAAGTGATAAGTGTATCATTTCCTAAAAACTTTCCCTGCAAAGGAGGCAGGGGTGCCAACTGGAATAAAACATTGTGGGGGCCCAGGTGTGCCACACCCTGCATAACTGATCACATGACATGGTGCACGCACACCATTTGAATGGCAATGTCCATCAACTTTGGAGGCGGGCCTCCAGCTCCCTCAAAAATTTTATTTCGAGGGCCGAAGCCCCTATGGATCCTAGTAGTTGGCTCCTATGAAAAAAGGTATGGGGTGGGAAAATCAACGCAAGTCACTTCCAGTTTCTTGGGCCTGCACAGATTTTGCCCTGATTTGGTCTCTTCTGAGCTGGCTGCTGAATCTGTCTGTCTAAACCTTTTTTTTACACAAATACTCCATGCCTTTCAGTGCTCTTTCCTACAAGACAAGTTCAGCTATCAAAAAGCTGTCCTCAGTGCCCCACATTATTTGGGAAGTGCAAGAGACTGTGAAGGGCTGTTTCTGTGTGTTTATTACATATATAGACCACATTTTCTCCCAAGGAGCTCATGACTCTCCTCCTCCCCATTTCATCCTCACAGCACCCCTGTGTGGTAGGTTAGGCTGAGAGATGGTGACTGGCCCCAGGTCGCCTAGTGAGCTTCATGGCTGAGTGGGGATCCGAACCCTGGTCTCCCAGGTCATAGTCCAACACTCTAACCATTACACCACAATGGCAGTGCTAGGGTTGGCAGGCACAGAAAGAGAAGGAGTTCTTGTGTCTTTAAATAAGTTGAGTATGTGGGAGAAACTGCAAGTTCTAGCAATGACCTTCTTCATCCCACCCTCTTCACCTGTGATTCCAGCATGCCCTCAAATTTCTCGGGAAAAGTGGTGGGACACGGGTGGCGCTGTGGGTTAAACCACAGAGCCTAGGACTTGCCGATCAGAAGGTCGGCGGTTCGAATCCCCGCGACGGAGTGAGCTCCCATTGCTTGGTCCCTGCTCCTGCCAACCTAGCAGTACAAAAGCACCTCAAAGTGCAAGTAGATACCTTCCGGCGGGAAGCTAAACGGCGTTTCCGTGCGCTGCTCTGGTTCGCCAGAAGCGGCTTAGTCATGCTGGTCACATGACCCAGAAGCTGTATGCCGGCTCCCTCGGCCAATAAAGCAAGATGAGCGCCGAAACCCCAGAGTCGGTCACAACTGGACATAGTGGAGAATAGGGACACTTGGAGGGTCTGTTCCAGGGCCCTGTCCTGTTCTCCCTGTGCTGCTGATGAATATCATGAAAACTAGCATCAGGAGAGAAGGGGTTTGAGGCAGTGAAGGAGCAAACCTGGGGATCAGAGAAAGATCTGGAAAAACTGTGGCTGAGAAATGCAACCAGAGAGGGAAGGGTGGAGAGGAGGGAAAGTGGGGATTTGCGTGGGCCTTAAAAAATGGCTCTTAAGAGTCAGAGTGGGCCCTTCCTGTCCTTAATCCCTTAACAGTGGTAATTGCAATTAGCCCTATTAGCACTAATGGGTCTGAGTACAGGGCTTTTCTCTCCATGCCCAGCAGAGAGAGTGGAGTGCTCTTGAGCATTGCAAAGTAAGGCAGAGGGATCTGCCTGAGCATGAATTAATGATTCTCATGGGAGGTTCCTGCCTGCAGGGTGGTAAATAGCAGATGGACCAAGTGCGGGAATGAAACTGGAAAAAATCTTGACAGCAGAAGGTGTTGGCTCTTGGTTTAAGGAAAACGAGAGGGGCTTGGATTGCAAGAGAGGGAAACTGAGGCATAGGAAGGAGTATTGATGCAACAGGTTAGCAAACATAAATATCTGCATTGCAACTGGCAATGCTCACTCTAGATCAGGTATAAAGCACCTTCCTTTGTTAAGTCTTCTGTTCCAGGCACAACGTTTTTCCACCATTAATGTCCCGTTGCTGGAACACCTTTGCACTAGTTATATACAGAGTCTAAAATTATTCATTGCTTTTTCTGCTCTATGCTTGTAGGTTAGGTAAGTATTATTATCCTCATACTGCGGACCAGAGGCTGAGAGAAAAAAGCTTCATCAAATCGTGCAGAAGCAGAAGGCAATATTTGAATCGAGGGATTTCCTGGTTCACAGCCTCATTGCTACTAGAAAGTCTAGAGTTTGGTACTTGGGATATATTTTCCCCTGAAGCCTTTGGCAAAAACCTGTTATTAGCAAAAACAATTTTGTACACCAAAAACCTTGCTGTAACTAAGCCTAAGTATGTATATCTGAAATAATTGAAACAAAATAAAAAAAAATCCTTCCAGTAGCACCTTAGAGACCAACTAAGTTTGTTACTGGTATGAGCTTTTGTGTGCATGCACCCTTCTTCGGACCTGAAGATGTGCGCATGCACACGAAAGCTCATACCAATAACAAACTTAGTTGGTCTCTAGGTGCTACTGGAAGGAATTTTTTTTATTTTGTTCAACTACGGCAGACCATCACGGCTGCCTACCTGTAACTTGAAATAATGGTTTATTCTTTCCCTGTTTCTGTTCTACTTCAGTGTCTCCCTTGTGTTGATACATAGATTTTAAGCCCCTTAGGGGTAGGTGCTGTTCCCTTGCAGTTTGTAAAGTGTTGTGTGCATGAAAGGTATCTTCTTGTTGTTGCTGTTTACAAACTGGCTACATTGAATTTGCTTAAGTTACATAGTGAACCCAACTTGGGCAATTTTAGAATATCTTTGACTATTGGGCGCTCCATCTACTCCTCTCTCCCTTTCTTTGAACTACGTAGCAGAAGTTGCCCATGTATTTAAAATCCAGAAATAATCCAGAAAACTATATAAAATTAATTAAATGTGCACACCTAGATGAACTTGGGTAAATGCACACCCAGAGAGAGCTTTTGCATGGTTCTGCGCCACCCTCCTCCTAAAGTGTGTGGCAGAATCTGAAAGAACTTCAAAATGGCTTGTTTGGCTCATGAAAGAAAGATTTGAGAAGGGCTACAATGACGGGAAAGCATAAGAATCATACATAGCTTAGGCAAGGCTAAATCGTTGTTAAAGCTTTTAAGTAATCTCAGGGGTCTCCACTAAAGTTCAACAAAAAGCAGTTTTTATTTTTGCACAACTTATTGATCTGTGGAACTCACTGCCATGGGATTTGGTGAAGGCCTGCAGCAAAAATGTGCTTTTTTAAAAAAAAGAGGGTTCTAACTATATTTAATGGAGGCTAAAGGTATCAGGGAAGGTAGCTTTCTGCTCAGGTCCTCTTTAAACATGAAGCTGCTAGAAGCTGTGATTGATGAACTGGAACATAATTATTGAGCATCTCTCCTGAAGCATCCCAAATAGGCTACTGTTGGTGACGACAAGCTGCGGGGCTAGATGGATTGCTACTCCGATCCAGTAAGGCTGGACCTTAATTGATACTTCCCCAGTGTTGCTTTCAGCTTCCCAAACTCCCCTTGATGAAGTGAGCCTCTGCAGTGTGCCAGCCTGGCTGGCTCCCTTCAGATCCCCCGCCCTTGCACTCGCTTGCCAGGATCGCATCCCTGTGAAATGTGTGGAGCTCCCAGCAATAACGCACGAAACCTTGGCACGGTGACTCTTCTCCTTTAAATATTAATGGGGCTGGCACCATCTGCGGCAAAAGGGTATAAATTTGCCTAACTGCTTCTCTCCACACTGCCTTTTCCCTCTGCCTTCTGATTTGGATGGTCTTGCTACCACCAGCATCCCACCATTGCCTCGCCTCTGGGCAGCTCTGGTGGAGTCCTCCTCCCCTCCTCCTCCTCCCGTGCCCCCGCCCTGTGGGTCTGTGGCTATGGGCTTGCTCTGGGGTAAGAGGTGCAGCAAGTGCCCCGCCAACTGCTCCCCTACTTATGCAGGTAACGGGGGACTGTCCCTTTAAGAGGCTGCATCATGCAAGCATGTCAGGATTTAAAAGGGCTGCTGTGCAAGGTGTTTATGCACTTGGGCTGTAGACCGCCCTCCTCAGACACTTCTCTGCTCCAGCCAGGATCCCAACTGAATCGGGAGCAGACTGTGCTGCTCCTCTAGGGGTTAAACCTGCCGGTGGTACTTCTCCCTTTCTCCCTCCCTCCCTCCCTCTCTCAGAGGCTGTGCAGCTGGAATCTCGCCTGCTCTGTGGCTGGGTGTGCTGTGCCGAAATTCCCAGTCGCTGCTCTGGAAACCAATTGTGCCAGAGAAGAATGTGCCGGCTCAGCTAATCAGCCAGGAGAGTGTGAGAGGAAGAAGAAGAAGGGAGAGAGAGAGAGAGAGGACCTGTGCCCAAAATATCGGTCTCTACCGCTCTGCCTAACAAGATCTCCTTGACTCTCCCCTGTTCTTTGCAGGCGTAAAGTGGAGCAAGGACAGCAGCATGTCCGACAGCAAGGAGTGGGCCACGCTCAGCCCAGAGGAGTTCACCCAGCTGCAGAAGTACATCGACTGTGAGTCTTTTCCCTTCTCCCATCTATCTCTCTGGGCTGGCCCCACCGGGCTGGGACCTATTGGGGAATGACTGTGACAACAGGAAATGTTGAAAGGGACTCCCCATCCTAAAGCATCAGGGAGTCATGTGGGACATTGACATGCCAAAATCTGGGTTTGCTTTGATGGAGCTGGGGCGGTGGCAGGGGGAGAGAGAGGGGGGAAGGTGGAAGGAACCGTCTCTCTATGCCAATCTGGAGGGGGCTGAGTGCAACTGAAAGGTCTGTTCACTCTGTAGCTGTCCCCGTAATATCATCTTGGAATGTCGGAGTCAGGAATCCTGATTTGGCGGCTACAGAAAAATACAGAGAAAACAGTATGGTCTGTGAGAGTTTAGCTGGGGGACGGCTTGCAGCTTGTGGGAGTACCTTGGCTTGAAAAGAGCAAGATAGTTTTAGATCCCTGTTTTCCCCGCCTTGAAATTATTGGCCTACCCACCCCCCAAACAGTGGTGGTCAAACGTGGAAGTTGAATGCCAGAGTTCCTAATGCCCTGGGTTCACAAGTGTTGAAAGCCAGGAGATATTTGGGCCAGAACTGCTGCCTTTCTGCAGCCCACTGGTAACCCACATTCCTTTCAAACGTAGGGCAGAGTCCTACAACCCCTGGGCACGGCATGTATCATGTTTCCTACACTGTATAATTTCCCTCTGTTCAATCTGTTTTCTTTGCCCTACAGACAGCAGCAAGAAGGTGCAGGACGTGCTGCAGGAATTTTATGGAGACGGTAAATTGTCTGAGCACCTTCAAGGAGATGTGAGTACACCCTTCTTCCCCTGCACCCGTTCATCTCTTGCCTTGCAAAATTTGTACATTTTTTTCCGGGGGGGGGGGAGGGAATCACTCATTCCAATAAAAGAATTTACCGCCAAAATTCATGTAGGCAAGGTGACCTTGCAAAGCAATATGCCATCCCTTTGAACCTCTCATGTCCCAGCTGAGGCATACCTGGAGGTTGGCAAAACCAGCCCCCACCAGGATGCAGGCACAGGAGGGGCGCAAAATTCACCTATCTATGGAGTATAGGATGTATATGTGTGTGGCAATACATCACCATTGTCGTAGCAAGATCAAACGTGGGAGAATCTTCATCCTTTTCACACCATGAAACAAAGGCATTTTTTTCCGGGAGGTGGGACGATAGAGCTCCTTGCTAGGGATGCTAATTTTTAACCTGTTCTTACAGATAGGAGGTTGATCCTAAAGTTCCATAGAGATTCACTCTCCTGTCATTTAAGACCACTAGATTTAATCCTGCCGTCTGGATTAGCAGAGAGCAAATATCTGCTACCTTGTATGCAATAGCCTTTTAGGTACTTGTGCTATCATGATGTCCCACATCTTTGGACTAAACTTAGCTCATTCCTCCAGCCTTTCCTCATAGGACTTGTTTTCCATACAGTTGACCATCTTTGCTACCCTTAGCTGAACTTGCTCCAATTTGTCTACATTCTTCTTAGTAAAGAATTGGACACAGTACTCCAAGCAAAACAAAAAATGAAAACAAATTCCTTCTTGTGACTTGGAAACAACGGTTCTGTCAATGCAGCCCAGAGTCACATTAGCCTATTTTGCAGCTGCCTCACGTCGCTGCCTCATGTCCAGCTCATGTCTGACTATAAACTCAAGATCCCTTTCGCATGTACTGCTATTGAGCCAGGCACCCCTCACCCTGTACTTGTAGTTTGTTTCCTATTTGCATTCCTATTTACATTTGCATTTAGTTTGTTTCCTGTTTGCATTTGTTGCTGTTTAATTTGTCTGTGTCATTCCAGTTTTCTCTTCTCTCAAGGTCCCTTTGAATTTTATTTGTATCTTCTGAGATGTTAACTGTCCCTTTCAGTTTTGTATCATCCTTATAATTGATAAAGAGTCCCTCCACTGTGTCACTGATAAAAAATGTTGAAGCGTGTCAGGCTTGGATTCCTGCTGCATCCCGCTTGTGGCATCCCTCCAGTTTGGTGAGGAACCATGGATGAGCATGGTTTTCCAAACAGTTGTGGATCCACCTGGCAGTATTCTCACCTGACTCACATTTAACCAGTTTGCTCACCAAAATATAATGAGGGACTTTGTCAAATGCTTTACCGAAATCAAGATTCATTCCATCCACAGCATTTACACAATCTGCTGAGTCTCTACTTCTGCCTTCCTTCCTATAATCAAACAACCCAAGGCTCCCCTGTGGTTTATCGTGAATCTGCCCTATGCATCGCAAGTCTTCCCTGTTGCTTGACCATTATCTCTTACTCGGCCTATGGGATGACTTCTCCCCTTCCTGTGTCTGCTAATCCAATAGCTGCCATGCAATGGAGCGAATGGAGAGGAGATTATTTTATTTTAATAATGTTTATTAAATTTTCTGTTTTACAATTTCACATACTCATTTTACATCCTTAAAGCATCAATGACTTCTTCTTTTTCCATGGTTCATTTTACATGTCTTAAATCCCTGCATATTTTACAAAAACTGTCCCAGTCAGTTTTCCATTGTAGAGCTTATTTATTCACTCCCGTTAAATCAGGGACAAAACAATTGAGGTTCTCCATTCTCCCTTACCATGCAAGACCACTACTGTAACATTGACATTGCTCAGATCAATACTCTGTTCACTTTCTATTACAACTGATAGGATGGGTTTCCTCACATTCCTCCTCTTTTTCTTCTGTCGCTTTGTTCTTCGACTGATGCCGTTGCCAGACGATAGACTTCGAGGGCTTCAAGCTCTTCCTGAAAACCTACTTGGAAGCAGAGGAGATCTCAGATGAACTTTGCAGCCATCTCTTCATGTCTTTCCAGACTACGGCAGGACAGGCCACAGGAGAGCCAGGAGTGCAACCAAGTAAGGAGACTTCCAGCAGAAAGGCTGCTATATTGTCTTGCTTTTATTCAGGGGGTGCGTGGGATCTGCACATCCTCTGGTGGTGGTGAAAAAACAACATCCCAAAATGCTTAAAAAGTAGGGACAGATGCTCTGCTATGCATCTTTTTTGGGTGGAGGTTTGACTTCGCATCTGATTTATTTATATCCTGTCTTTTAGGACAAATGTCCTCTCAAGGTGGCATACACAAATCATAACACTTACTTGAAAACTGTTTTTTTTAATAAAAAAAATTAAACTCCTTAGAGTGAGCCCCAAAAGAACAATAAACAGAGATATGCAGCAGGTAGGTGATGACAACGAATGAAATGTAGCCTGAAATAAAAATGTCTTGAGAGTTGTTGTTTTAACACAGTACATAAATGTGAATGCAGTGTAATATCTAGCAGCCCCTAGGGTGGAGAATTATTGACAGATCTCTTGCCCCTAAAGCCTTTCCTCTCTCTCCCTTCCCCCCCTCGCTTTGCAGCCAGTGGCTTTGTTTGCGTCAATGATGTCTCTTGTTACTTCTCTCTGCTGGAAGGTGGAAGGCCAGAAGACAAGCTGGAATGTGAGTAGCTGAGAAAGGATCAAGAGAAGGATGGGGCAGCTGAGGACCCCAGTTCTTAGCCTCAGATATTGGGGTGGGTGGGTTTGGGGTAAACAAACACTGGTGAAAATCTGTCCCTGGCGGTTCTTGAGGGGGGAAAAGGCTTGGTGAAGGGTTGGAAGGAAATGGGGTTTTTATGGAAGGTGTCTGAACCAGAAGGGAGATGGCAGATGTTTCTTTCCTTTGATCCTGAAGCTTCTAGTTCTGATCTTATTTCTCCTCCCACAGTCACCTTCAAGCTCTATGACAAAGATGGGAATGGCCTGCTCGACAGTTCAGTGAGTAGCATGAGATCTTCAGGAGCTAACTTTGGGCCTGTTGGCATTGGATAGCCTCTCCCCATTCATTTCCTCTTTTTCCCCATTCAGGCATTACAGGCTACACACCCAGCAACACACATCTCCACCCACAAAGCTTTTGAACATTTGAGCTTTTTGTACCTGGGATGACCCAAGCTATTTCAGTGGCACCCACACACACACTAATTGACATGAGCCCAGACAGACTTCTACAGGGAAGTTCTCTCGCACAAGCTTCGTTTTAGTGAGGCTTGCTCAGGAGAACATCCTGGTACAGTGTTCCCTGTTGTTCTGTCTCTCACACTCCTGCCTTTGATGGTGCCCAAAATATGTTGCCTTCCTTCCCTCATTTGTGGGTGCTCATTTCCCCCTCATAGCTTATCTCTGGTTTGCACTTATGTGGACTTTCCCCTCCACGCTCCCAGGAGGTCTGTATCTTCTTGCCTTGGCACAGAAGCATTGCTGTTTGTTTTCCAGCATTCCACCTTTTCTGCTTTCTGTGGGAGACCTCCACATTACCGCCAAGTTTGCAGCCTAGAGGGGCCCCATCCTGGCTATGATTCCAGCCCGTCTGGGCTTCTGCTATTTCATGGATGCCATATTTGGAAGAGGAAATTTGGGAGCAAAAGGGAGCAAATCTTTTTTCATATTTTCTTTGAAGTGCAGTGTGGTGGATGTGCCCTCCTGGCCCAATCCAACTAATGTCAGAGACCAGAGCCACACTATATGCACTTTTATGATTTGCTGTACAAGGTTGCCACTTTTTTTCCTGGCAGGACTCCTATGCCTTTAACAGCTGCATGGTAGGAAGAAAATCAGCAAGTTAAGTTTGCTGCATCTCCTACTAGAACAAAGATAGCCATCCTATTTTGAGCAAGCTAAGATATGATGCTATCTTTGGCTTCTCCCAATCTGTGATACCTCTTATCAACTGGTGTTTCTTGACTCCTGACTTTATCTTTCTAAATGTGCCCCAGTTTCTAATGTGCCTTTTTTATGTAAGCACCTTCCTTCACCTTTAATGCAGGCCTTAAACTATGTTCTTATGTAGGAGGTGGACCGCATAATCACACAGATGATGCGTGTGGCTGAATATCTGGACTGGGACGTCACTGAGCTTAAGCCAGTAAGTGCAGAATACCCATACCTGATTTTCACTAGGCGTATTTCCGTTCCATACTCACAACCCACACACATACTCACCTATGCTGGGAAGTGCTGGCTCTTGCAGCGTTTCCCAAACATGGGTCTCCAGCTATTTTTTTGGACTATAATTCCCATCATCCCTGACCACTGGTCTTGCTAGCTGGGGATGATGGGAGTTGTAGTCCAAAAACAACTGGAGACCCAGGTTTGGCAAACACTGTGAATTTTGCTGTCTCTTAGAATCTAAGGTTAATGGAGCACACAAGGAAGCTGGATAAGGTGTTGTCTTCAGCACAACACCGGGAAGGGGATGACAGTTAAATGAGCTAGGGCAGGCTAATGGGGTTCATATATAAAATCTAGATGGGAGTGTCCTCATAGAGTGACCTCTCCTTTCTGCTGGCTGATTGTTGCTTTTTTGCAGGGGACAGTGTGGTGAAGAATACAAGCTCTTGTTTCCCCGCCCCCCTTCTCTCCAGATAATCTTTGCAGTTACGAAGCTTTTGGGGTTTAAGAAAGGAGGATGGATGCTGGGGGTGGATGTAAATTGCCATATGCTGCAAATAACATTGGATTCTTGGGTGCACATTTCGGGAAGAATGGCTTTGTCTCCTAGACGTGCCTCATAAAAAATGAGCTGGGGAACAAGGCATGGTGCGCATGTCGATCTGTGTCAAACTGACTTCAGCAAGCCCTCCCATGCCCTCTTCTTCTCCCATCTCTCATCGGCACAGATCCTGCAGGAGATGATGCGAGAGATTGACTACGACGGCAGTGGCACAGTGTCTCTATCCGAGTGGCTCCGCGGCGGCGCCACCACCGTCCCCCTCCTAGTGCTACTTGGACTGGAGGCTGTAAGTGCACAGAGGGGCAAGGGAGAAGGATGGGAAGGGGAGATGGGGGCTGAGATAATAAGACAGGCACCTCTGCCCATCTGAGCCGGACTGAGGCGCTGTGGTCTGGGACAGGGGGGCATTCTGTGATCTCCAGTACAGGAAGCAGGAATGGTTTCTAGCAACAAGTTAATATTACCTGGGGCTTCCTTGGAAACGAGCTTCAAGCTGCCACCCATTTTGACAGATAAGTCACAAGCTGGCTTTATTAAGACTGGAGCAAAAGCAAAACTGCTGTTCCACTGCGTTGATTTGAAGCGGTTGCTGCACTGTTGGACTCCAACTCCCATCAGCCTCCAGCTAGCATGGCCAATGTTTAAGGGGGCATGGGAGATGGAGTCCAGCAACACCTGACACACCACAAAATAGGCACATCTGCTGCATGTGGTGCTTTTCTCCATCATGGGGGCTTCTTGGAGGAGAGTCCTCCCTTCCTAAAATATTTATTAAAAATGGGATATTTTTACTCTTGCATTAGTTCATTCCAAGGGGCCAAAGTTATAGGTCCATATACACACATTTTGAAGGTCATATTATCCCTCCCGCCCCAAAAATATACCAACCTTTGTCCAAAATTCTGACCCGCCTGGAACCCATTCCCTCCCACACCTCCCGCGAGCCCTGACATCTCTCTTCCCCTCCCATTCACAAAACAATCACACACAACAACAAAAACCAACTTCTGCCCTCACTGCCTACTTTCCTTTGTTGCTGCAGACCATGAAGGATGATGGGCAGCACCTCTGGCGCCTGAAGCACTTCAACCGGCCCGTTTACTGCAACGTGTGTGAGACGCTTCTGCTGGGGCTGCGCAAGCAGGGGCTGCGCTGCACTTGTGAGTGGCTCCCTTTGTCTTTGGGGTGAAGGTGGTCATCTCCTCCTTTCATCCAGTATGGGCTTCTCTAGTATTTGCCCACCCTTCTGTGGAATAAGCGCCCTGCGAATGTTGCGTTTGTGAACAAGGGAACCTGGGGGTGGAGAACAGGAGGAGGGAGAGTCCTCCAAACGCTGCCATCTTTGAGGCATCTTCAGGAAGAACTAACAAAAAAATGAGCTTCCGGCAGCGTGGCCTGTACCACTGAGCAGAGGGCGGAGGGGTGTTTTAATTTTCCCTATTGGGTGAAACTGCCTAGATCAGAAATTTCTTGTGGCCTCTGGAGATGCAACAGGATTGCCCTTGAAAGCCATGCACACCAGCACCTTTGCTCTGGAAGCCCCTGCGATTCCGTTCTTCTCTCAACATCTTTGCAGGCACTTCCTCTCCTATTAAAACAGCAGCAGCAGCAACCCAACAACTTTTCTAGAAGCTTGCCTTTTAAAAGAAAATAAAGCTGGGATTTCCGTGAGCTGCCCAATAGTTGCTTGCTGCTTTTAAAATAATAATAATAATAATAATAATAATAATAATAATAATAATAATAATAATAATAATAATAATTATTATTATTATTATTTATTTGTACCCCGCCCATCTGGCTGCATTTCCCCAGCCACTCTGGGCGGCTTCCATAGAAACCAAAAATACACTAAAATATCACACATTAAAAACTTCCCTGAACAGGGCTGCCTTAAAAATCTGCAAGCTCCTTTAAAGCATGGTTTGCAATGTGGCATGTACATGGGGTGAGGGGGTTTGCTATTTAATGAGCATTTCTCATCACTAATTTTGTCACAAACAGTATCCAGCAGGGGTGAAGAATGCATTGCCCCTGGAGAGATTTGCATGATGCCCAGGCACGGAGCGCTGCAGTTTCGGTAGTCAGAAAACGCGACATCTGTTCAACAATTGGTTGTGCTCTGTGTGAAACAAAAACTTATTGGATCCCTTGGCCTCTCATGCTCTCCTCTTGGAGAGGTGTTCTCGGTGGCTCTGTGCTTGCAGGATGCTGATCAAAGGATCAGGAAGCAGGGAGAGCGGAAGGAAATGAGAGGCCTAAATCTGGGCAGCATTAGCTGGTGATGGGGTGGGGATTTCATGGGGCAGTCTGTAACTGGAGTGGCATATTCAGTCCCTAGTTGCTTGCATGTCAACAAATCCATCCTTCTCCTTTTTTACCCACAGTTTGCAAGTACACAGTGCACGAGCGCTGTGCCCGCAAAGCCCCACTGAGTTGTATCAGCACCTATGCCAAGAGCCGTCGTGACACCAGTGTGAGTACCGTGGGCAAAGGAGGGGAGGGCATTGCATCCATAAAGCAGCCTTTGGCTCATCTGGCTGCATTATTACCTAGGGTTTCTTTCAGGCTTCCCCTGTCTCTGCCTCCTCTCTTCCCCTGCCATGTATCCTCAGCCTCCCTCCTTTCTGTCATGATCTCCTGTCCAAGCAAGAGAACAGATTGTCTCATTCTACAGTTTCCTCCACTGACTCTCATGCCTTCCCTTTAGGAACTCTCTGGATCCATTTTTTTCTAAGGATTTGTGGGGTGCTCCCCCTCTCCTCTTCTCCTGGATGTGGAATTGTCTTCACCTGTCCCCAGACCACATCTCTAGGAACTATTTCTTCCCTTCAGATCTCTTAATTCATTCATGACCTCCACGTCTCCTTGGCAGCGTCATCGCACCTCACAGTTCCAAAATCATTAGCCAAGTAAATAGCGAATGCACAGCTAATTATAAACACCGTAGTTCTTTGCTCCTGCCCAGTTTAATTACATCAGTCCTCTTAACCATCAGGAAATAGCATGCAAGAGCTGGGAGAGGATGTCCTGGACAAAGGACTCTAGAGCTCTGGCTCCCATTCTCCCCTTCCTGTTCCAATCTTTTTAGATCTATCTTCTCTCCAGGGAGTCAGGGCTAGAACTCGAGAGCTGTGGGTTCTGATTCTGCTGATCTAGCCCGGTGGTCCCCGTCCCTCCACTTTCATGCACCCGTCGCTCTTTCCACTTGCAGGCACAAGCCCACATCTGGGTAAGAGGCGGCTGTGACGGCAGCAAGTGCGACCGGTGTCAGAAGAAGATCAAGAGTTTTCAGAGCCTGACAGGAATGCACTGTGCCTGGTGCCATCAGAAGGTGAGTTGATACCCCCCAATTTTCCCTGATTGGAGGCATAGGTGCCATAAGTCAGGAACGGCTCTTAATTAAGGGCCTGCTTCTCAGTTATCTGTCTTACATTTCAAACTCCAGCTTTCCCTTCCCTCATTTGGGAGATCATGATGCATCTCCATATTCACTGTGGAGAGCCCTCTCAGCACTCATTGCTTCGTTACTTGCGGTGCAGGGTGGTGGGAGAAGCAGCAGCAGCCGGGATGCAACCAATGGTCCCATCCCATGTGCCAGAATGGCTGTGAGAAGCGAGACTGTGTCTGATCACAGAGTGGCCCCTTCCAGGTGTTCCTGTTACCTTGTAGGAAGGAGTCCTCCATTGCAGTCCGGCTTGCCAAGTATCGGAACATGGGAAGCTGCCATGTACTGAGTCAGACCATTTGTCGGTTTTAACTCAGTGTTGCCTAAAAACTGTCAGGCAGTGGCTCTCCAGGGCTTTTGGCAGGGGGCATTCCCAGCCCTACCCGGAGAGGCTGTGGGGAACCTGCAGGTGCTCTACAACTAAGCTAAGGCTGTTCCCTGCATAGGCACAGCAAGATCTGCAAAGGGCAGCAGAGGATTGGTGGAGTAGAGGACTTGTGGGGAGGAGGAGCATTTCTCGAGGGAGCCTGTGAAAAGGTGGGAGGTGAAAGCAACAACGGAGGTGGAGGACTGTCCTGTGGCCTAATAAAGCATGAGTGGTTTATGCCTTCCTGGCATAGTGTGCCATGTTATATGTATAGATATTCTGCTAAGTGATTTTTGTGTGTGTTTTATATGTAGGCAGAGCTCTCATTTCATCAGTTAAAAGTGATCATAATTTTTGTCTTGCTTCATGGTTCAGAGAGCAAAATCACAAATGCTGTTCCTGAACTGGTGTTCTAGGTGAAAGGAAGAGATTGCATTCGAGGGTTTTGGTGGTACCTTTCGGCCCTTTCCATTTTGCAGGTTGGAACTCAGAATAAACTTTTGTGTGAGTGTGTGTGTGTAAAATCTCTCTCTCTAGATCCATGACGAGTGCATGTCTCTCATGCCTTCAGCTTGTGATTGCGGGGTCCTCAGAGATCATATCCTTCCACCTTCAGCAATCTACCCTGTTGTGCTGGTGAGTGGATTATTGAAACACATGGATTATACACAAAATGTTTGAACATGTGTACACCCCCCCCCACAACACCTATGCACAGAATAATACAGAGTTGGAATCACAGCTGTCAAGGTGGACACAAATGACAGGAAAGAGAGTTCTCTTCTGAAGCCCATTGATGCAGCCTGCTCACTATTGTTTTTAAAAGGTTTGGAGACAGTGCGAGAGAGCAGTCACTGCCCATAATGTACATTGTTTCTTGTGTCATACCATAGTATCTGATCAAGCAGTTTTGTAAGTTCTCATTCTGCTTCCAGCTAAAGCACTAAAACACACCCTTAGAAATCATTGCGGCTGCAATAGATTGTGTTTATATCTGGATGCAAGTCCTATTGTTGAGAATGCCCATTCTGCATACAGCATTTCTTCTTCAGCCCCTAAGCACTGAAGTAATTTTGGAACTATTTTTTAAAAGGTTTTTAAGTATGTATATTTCTATGTATGCTTAGTATGTGAAAGGGTACCCAGTCACATGGGCGGGGTACAAATAAATAATTATAATAGCAATAAGTAGTATTAGTAGTATTACGTAGAGGTGTGGGGTTTAGAGAAAATTTTAACTCTGCCCCTCTTCAATGCTCTGTGTATTTAGGATGATTTTTAAAGTTTGCCTCGAGAGTGAAATTGACTAGACCAAAAGCTGCTGTTGATATGGCCCAGTTTAAGACAAGATGGCATAATTTCAGCACTGAAGTCTACTGTAAAGTACATATCACCACATTTCTGGCACATGCATATAATCCTCAGAATCTGCTTTTGCTCTGGAGATAGGTCTGGTTTTTTTCAGTACAGGAGAATGCACACAGGGAGCACATTAAGTAGGTGTTGAAGGAAGAGGAGGAGCAAGCTGCAGGTCTTAGAAATGTACCCATCCTCTTAGTGCTTGCCTGTTTGTTTGTGCTGAGCCTTCCTCCGGCATTTGACCCCAATGGTTTTCATCCCAGCAACAGCCTTAGAGCTGCTGTGGTGCTACTTCCCCTGCTGATTCCTGCCCCTTTCTGTGTCCCAGGAGCGACAGAACAGTCAGAAGAACGGAGTCTGTGGGACCCCTTCAGAAGAGCCAGCTCAGCCCTTCACCACCCCTGAGGGACAGGCACTGCGGGTGAGCCTGGGGAAACTGGAAGGAGGGTGTTGGCAGGTCCCCACTTACTGTTGGTACCCTGTTGGCGCTGAGGTCCTGTGCTTGTCTGAGCAATGCCTTCCGCATTCATGTTAGTTACAAATAACCCAGGAAGTTGGCAGGAGAGGGAGGTTAGTTAATACTCAAAACATCCCTTTGCCCTCGAGCTGAAGCACATTCAAGTCCCTCTCGTGCTGTTTGTGCCATGTGTGGAATTTGGTAATACCAGTGAGAGAATATACAGTGGTATCTCGGGTTAAGTACTTAATTCGTTCCGGAGGTCCGTACTTAACCTGAAACTGTTCTTAACCTGAAGCACCACTTTAGCTAATGGGGCCTCCTGCTGCTGCTGCGCTGCCGCCACACAATTTCTGTTCTCATCCTGAAGCAAAGTTCTTAACCCGAGGTACTATTTCTGGGTTAGCGGAGTCTGTAACCTGAAGCGTCTGTAACCTGAAGCGTCTGTAACCTGAAGCGTCTGTAACCCGAAGTACCACTGTACTGAATATACGGTCCGGTCAGGGTTTTAGAGTTTGTTTTTTTTAATGCCGCTTAAGCTCAAACCACTTTTGAACCATGCATGGAGGTCACCCACTCAAATCCTCAGCAGCTGCTGTTTGCTGAAGCAGAAGTCTTGCTGGGTCAGAGGGCTCAATTGCATTGTAACCCTAAACTAGTTCTGACCGCTGTGGCTTTCCTCCAGGGATTCCGGGTATGATTGCTTAGTGCAGGGTGCTGCAGAATAATTGTGAATGATCCCTAGACCCTTCAGGATTATAAAACACAAAAAACAAAACCACCCCAAGAGATTAGGGGATAGGAAGGGATAGGAAGGGGATAACAACTATGACAGTTTAAGCTGGTTAAAAATTGCCACGTGTGTACAGGCCCATGGTGAACCCAAGAGCTGTATGTCCATAGGATGTCCAGAGGATCTCCATAGACCTCTCTGGAAGCCACGCTCATAGCAAAGGGAAGAGGTGGGTGGTTAGGGGTGATTTCAGCTGTAAATCTAAAGGACCCCTGACAGTTAAGTCCATTTGTGACCTACTCTCGGGTTGCAGCGCTCATCTCGCTTTATTGGCCAAGGGAGCCAACGTTTGTCCGCAGACAGTTTTTCCGGGTCATGTGGCCAGCATGACTAAGCCACTTCTGGCAAAACCAGAGCAGCACACAGAAACACTGTTTACCTTCCCGCTGGAGTGGTACCTATTTATCTACTTGCACTGGTGTGCTTTCAAACTGCTAGGTTGGCAGGAGCTGGGACAGAGCAACGGGAGCTCACCCTGTCACGGGGATTCGAACCACTGACCTTCCGATCGGCAAGGCCCTAGGCTTAGTGGTTTAGACCACAGCGCCACCCGCATCCCGTCGATTTCAGCTGTACCCAGACGCATCTACATGCCTGTTTCTCCATCCCTTCCTGTGCTGCTGAACCTACAGTGCTGTTTGCTTGTTAGCAGGAGTGGAAAAGCGAATTTGACCATTGGCCAAGCTGCTCTCCAAAAACCCTTTCCATCCGTCTTTCCGCAGATCATCCCGGTGCCTGACACTCACCCCTTGCTTGTCTTTGTCAATCCCAAGAGTGGTGGGAAGCAGGGAGAGAGGTGAGAGGGGAATGGGGTCTGAAGCACAAAGGTGGCGGGGCAGGGGAGGCTAGAATCATAGAACTGTAGAGCTGGAATGGGACGCCAAGGGCCATCAAGTCCAACCCCCTGCAATACAGGAATCCTGCCCACAGCCATGGACTCGAACCACCAACCTTCTGATTAAGAGCCAGATGCACTGACACATTGTACCACATCCTTCTTTTTCCTAGGATGTGTGTCTTACGGTCCACACCAGTTTTGCTTTTGGGTGGTTAGATGTAGTTTATTTTTTATGAGTTTTTTGTCTGAGGTTCTATAGAAAATCCCAGCAGAATATATCTCTTACAACATGGAAACTCCCCCGGCCATTTCTAATTGCCAGAAAAACTCTGGGTAATCACTTATACAATTCACATTTGGCAGGGCTGCCAGGAGCTTGTTAGAATTGCTTGGGGCTCCAGATCTGGTCAGTGGGACACTAGCTGACCATCCCTTAATCTACGAGACCCCATCATTTGCAAGCATGTCCCACAAATTTGGTTTCTCCTGCAGAGCATATTACGAACTTGACTAAGGTGGTTTCTGATTGGCTATCTTTCCCCCCATCTTATTGGCAGGGTGCTGCGGAAATTTCAATACCTCCTCAATCCACGGCAGGTCTACAATTTACTGAAGGGGGGCCCCGGACCTGGGTGAGTTGCTGTGACCTTCAGTGCATGTCAGTTGTGTCTTCCTGTTGTGACAGTAGTTGCCCACATTTCACAACTCTTGAAGGATAAGGCAGGTTGCTGGTGGGAAATGGTGTGTGTGTGTGTGTGTGTGTACCAGGACAGCTGGAGGAACTTTGTGCTGTATCTGTAGGTGGCTTGTGATCAGGACTGAGAGGCAGCTATGGAACCTGTGGCTAAAACTTAATTGTATGCACCTTTTTTGTTCCAGGCTGAACTTCTTCCGGGATGTGCCAGATTTCCGTATCCTGGTTTGCGGCGGTGACGGCACAGTCGGATGGATCTTGGATGCCATCGGTAGGTCTTTGAGACGCTTTTAAGGTTTTCCTTTTCCACAGTCTGGTGTGGATAAAGAGCCAATCCAAAACCTCCGTTTTTGTGTCAACACAATAACTGCTAGTTGCTTTAAAAGGGCCAATGATGTACCCATCATCCTAACAACGGGGGTTGTCTTCTAGCGTCACTAATGTTGCCACTCCATGTTATAAAGAAAGGATCGGTTTTCATTCTCTTTTTAGACAAAGCCAACCTACCAAGTCGGCCTCCCGTGGCTGTGTTGCCCCTGGGAACTGGCAATGATCTGGCCCGCTGCCTTCGCTGGGGAGGAGGTGAGCAACACTAGTTGGTCTCCATCTCATGCTGCTAATCACCTGGAATCAGACCAGGTGACCCACTAGAGAGTATACTGTTGCCTTGTCCCAGCTAAGACCATTTAGCCATGTAGATTTCTCCCACAGCCCTGAATTTGACCAGTGGGTCCATTAATAGCAGCAAGGAAGGTGCCCTGATGTCAGGCAGGTTAGCTGAACAAGTGAGTGTACAGAGTCTCCTGATATTTCTCCTGGGGTTTTAGACCCTGGGTATGAATCTTGTGCTGTCCAATTTCTCTTACGTTCCCTTTCTTTCTTTCTTTCTTTCTTTCTTTCTCCCTCTCCCCCTCCCCCTCCCCCTCTCTCTTTGTCTCTTTCAAAAGCAAAACCCCGCCTCTGCAGTTTTGTGTTGAAAACATTCAGTACATAGCTGATATAGCAATAACTCATAAACAGTAATGTGATAGCATATAGTTCTTCCCCTGGGGCTAGGACAACCTGGGTTCAGATTCCTGCCCAGCCACAAAGTCATTTGCGTTGTCAACCTCACATGGTTGTTGTGAGGATCACCCCATGTACCTTACCCGGATATGACTGGAAAGCTAAGCACAGCAGCATGTATAAAATAAAGCTGCATTTATAAAAAGCCTCTGACAGATCTTGGCTCCATAACAAAAGTGCTTTCTGTTGTGGCTTAATCTTTCCCTTAAATAGTAGCAACCCAAACATTCTAGCATGGGAATTAGTCCTAGTACTGGAGAAAGGAAAGCACTGGAAAAGAAGCTTGAGGTTGCCTGGTTTCGTGCTCCTCTCATCTTGATTTGATTACTAGACTAAGACTGTCTGGCCAAGGTGGGGGAGTGGAGCTTATTACCAGAGTTCACACTTCCAACATTTTACAAATCACAAGCCTACTCCCTCCCCCCTCAGTCTCTAATGCATAAATTTCTGCCCAGGTTATGACGGCGAGAACCTAGTGAAGATCCTTAAAGACATTGAGGCAAGCAGCATCCTGCAGATGGATCGCTGGTCAGTCCAGGTGACGCCCGACAACCCTGATGAGAAAGGGGACCCCGTCCCCTACGAGATCATCAACAACTATTTCTCCATTGGGGTAGTAAGTATGGAAGGGGCAGGTGAAAATAACAAAGAGCGGCACTGGAGGACAGCCTTCCTCTTCAAGCCCATGGAGGGTGGATATTCTCTCTTTCTGTGTGTGTATTACTGTGAGAAACGAGAGATGGGAGGTTTTGCGGTCTTCTGAGCTGTTGCTATACTGGTGCCACTGAAGTCAGTGGCAGGAGACTGCAGAGAAGGGGGCAGGAGGTTTCAAGCACAGGACATAGCAGAAAGTTGAGAAGGACGGGAAGCGGGGGATGGAGAGGGGACTCTGGGGAGCTGAGAGGTGGCAGGCGGTGGGAGGGAACTTTGGAAGAAGCTGTGTGGGACATCTCCTCCCATCCCATTGTTCCCTCTCCACCTCCATGACGCCCCCTCTTATTTCTGACTCTGTCTTTCTCACCCACCCTTTCTCCAGGATGCCTCCATTGCCCACCGATTCCATGTCATGAGGGAGAAATACCCGGAGAAATTTAACAGCAGGTTAGCGCAGTACGGTTGGGGAGCACCTGCCCTTGGGCGCTGTATCTACCCAGAATCCTCTGCTCTGGAATCATGGCTGTCTTCCCCTGTGTAGCCAGTCCGATCTGGCACTTGAGTCTCCTTATTCATGCATAGGAACCTCTGCCTGTGGGGAGGAAGGGGCTTTTTGGTCCCTGGCCTCTTTGGCACACTTTTGGTGCTTTTCCGTCTCTCCCTGGGAAGCATCTGTGGGTGGTATGGGGCTGCCACGTGGCCGAGAAAGCAGTTGGTTCTAAGGAGAAGGTGGTTTGCGCCATGGAGTAATTGGGTAGTAAAAGAGGATGCTCTTGAGAGGGGCAGTCTAGGCTGGCAACATTGGTAATCGTTGGTAATATGGTGCCCTGAGCAAGGTCAAAATTTGGCAGCCCCAAATGGATCTTCTCAGTTATGGATCGTCTCAGTTTTGCTCCCATGCGGTGGAACCGCCTACACCTAAATCTGATGCTGCTGGCAAGTCCTGCAGGTGGATGTGTTTGGCTGAGGCCTTCCTGGTAGAAACAGAACCCAGCCACATGTTTTTCGTTTTTTGTTTCGCACCCCCTTTCCCCCTGGACCAGGATGAAGAACAAGCTCTGGTATTTTGAGTTTGCTACATCGGAGACCATCTTTGCCACATGCAAAAAGCTCAAGGAGTGCCTGTCGGTCGAGGTGAGGTTCCCCCTTGTGGCGCTTGAGTCGAACAGCTGTGCTGCAACTGTGAAAGACGAGAGTTGCCTTTTCTGTCCTTTGCAATGATCTCTGCTGCAGATTACTGGTGAATCAGAGCAAACGTCAGTCCGCAAAAAACCCGATCGACATTTGTTATGATTCGGCAGTAAGCCACAAGTTTTCCCAGGTAAACCTCTCAGACTTGTGTCTAGAAATCATGGAACAAAGGGGAGTGTGGATGAACCCTAAGATTAGGCCAGACTCCAAGAGATACTTGGTATCCTTGTGAACACCAGGATTTAGGAACAACGTTGTCTCTGAGCGTGGGTGCACTCGTCATTGAGTTGCCAGAAGCAGCTTGGGACCCACTACACATTTGACATTCGGACTTCTGCATTGGACGAGGGGGACTGCCAAGGAGGCTTGAGCCCACAGCACTTTTCATTTTAAAAATAAGCACTGCCACCTCTCCCTCTGTCACCTTTCCATGGGCCTTTCGAGAATTCGTCTTGATTTGCTCACTTGCACTGCTTACCAAGCATTTGTTTGATTGGTCATGATCCCACACTTTTGGGTGCATTTACCAGCCACGTTTTGGTGCATTTTCTAATAACAAAAAGTCCTTTTAAAAAAAGAAAGAAAGGTGTTTTGTTACACCAGATCACTTTAATTCCTTTTCATTCTGCAAACCTCAATTTATGATATGTGACTGAATCTCTCCTGGAAAATACTGACAGTCTGGAAGTGACCCATGGAAAAAAACTACTCCTCTCTTGATAGCTTCATAATGTTGTTATTGTTGTTTTTTCTCTCTACCCTATTAACTGCTGGTCAAGGCTGGATCTAGAACTTAACCCTCACCTCAGTGCTGTGGGGTGGCATTTAAAGGGACATTGCTTGAACAATTTGTAGGTTGGGGCAGCTGGCTAAAATGTTTTAAACAGTTTTAATTTTGGTTCCTCTGTTTTCTTTTCATTGGGTTGGGGTAGGTGGTTGTTTTAATTTTGGTATAACTGTAAAATTATTAGTTTCTATTGATTTATTGGTTTATTTATAGTCGGTATAAGACATTCTTTTAAAAATATTTTATTTATTTATTTATTTATTTATGTATGTATGTATGTATGTATGTATGTATGTTTTTATATATGCTGTATTATTATGGAGAAACCCAGCCGGATGGGTGGTATATTATTATTATTAATAATAATAATTTTTTTAAAAAAGTCAGTTATCTCTCTTGATGAGAGATGGTAAGCAAGAGAGAGGAAATTTTAAATATGATGTGGCGTCCTCTATTGAATTCATTTTATTTTATAGGGGTTGTGTCATATGATTTATGATTCATGTTTTCAGTTTTTTTCAGTTGGTTTTACCAACTGCTTTGATATTTCTATGATATTTTTGTAAAAAATAAAATGAAGAATAGATATAAATAAATATATTTATAAATATCTATACAAGTTTCTCTAGGTGGTAAATTAGTTATTGGATTATGATATTTATAATATTGGTATTTGTAGCTGTCTCCCTCCCCCCCCCTCTCTCTCTCTCACACACACACACACATATATATGAGAAATTATATGAATGTATATGCATTTGTTATGTTTTTGCAGTTACTGCAGCCTTTGCATCAAATAATAAAGAACACACACTAGATCTATATCTATTTCTATGAGTGATGCTAACTCTCCCCCCCCTCCACATTCCTTTCCCCACCCCAAGTGCTGTGGGCAGCCTATTGACCTCAGCGGAGCACTTTCTGGAGTAGCAGTCCTCAACATTCCCAGCATGCACGGTGGCTCCAACCTCTGGGGTGAGACCAAAAGACCTTTGGGGGAGGCGGCGGCACGAAGCACAGCAGGGGGTGCCGCACAGCCCCAGGTCATCAGTGATGCCGAAACTCTGAAGAACTGTGTACAAGGTGAGCTGAGGAAGAAGGGCAGCAGCTGGGCTCAGGTGGGTTGGGCTGCTTTAGGCAGCAGCAGATGTGGAAAGCCAGAGCAGATTTGAATTGTGACCGTGAACGAGGAATGGAGTGATGCTGCACAGGTGGGAGGCAGGCTTGTAATATTGCTGACACTCCTGAGAACATCGCACAGGGAGGGTTTGGCTAGGGAAAGCAGTTCTAAGTCCAGCTCCGAGGTCCTTCTGGCAGTTCCCTCCCTGTGAGAAGCAAAGTTACAGGGAACCAGGCAGAATGCCTTCTTGGTAGTGGCGCCCGCCCTGTGGAACGCCCTCCCACCAGATACCAAGGAAGCAAAGAACTACACAACTTTTAAAAGAAAACTGAAGGCTGCCCTGTTTCGGGAAGTAGTAGTAGTAGTAGTAGCAGTAGCAGTAGTAGTAGTAGTGTGTGTGTGTGTGTGTGTGTGTGTGTGTGTGTGTGTGTGTAAAAAATTTTATACCCTGCCCATCTGGCCGGGCCTCCCCAGCCACCCTGGGCAGCTCCCAACAGAATAGTAAAAACACAATAAATCATCAAACATTACAAACGTCCCTAAACAGGGTTGTCTTCAGATGTCTTCTAAAAGTCAGATAGTTGTTTATTTCCTTGACATCCACAGGGCGGGTGCCACTACTGAGAAGGCCCTCTGCCTGGTTTCCTGTAACTTCGCTTCTCGCAGGGAGGGAACCACCAGAAGGCCCTCAGAGCTGGGCTGTACGATGGGGGTGGAGAGCCTCCTTCAGGTATACTGGACTGAGGCTGTTTAGGGCTTTAAAGGTCAGCACCAACACTTTGAATTGTGCTTGGAAACGTACTGGGAGCCAATGTAGCTCTTTCAGGAGCGGTGTTATGTGGTCTTGGTGGCCACTCCGTATTTAATGTTTGATGTCTTAGCTTTTTATATGGGCTGGAAGCTGCCCAAAGCGGCTGGGTGAAACCCAGCCAGAAGGGTGGGGTATAAATAATAAAGTTGTTGTTCTCGTTGTAGATATGGGCAAAACTTCCAATATTCTCCTCTTCTCCTCCTCCCCCTTGCTATTTCTCACCTAGACCTAAGTGACCGGCGGATGGAGGTGGTGGGCCTGGAAGGCGTCTTAGAGATGGGACAGATTTACACAGGACTGAAGAGCGCGGGCAAACGCCTGGCCAAGTGCTCCGAGATCACACTGCGGTGAGTTAGGCGGTTGGTCTGCGACGGGGCTTCTCCTCCTTCTCTTGCAGCTGCCATTGTGACCCTCACACATCCTGACCTAAGGGAAAGGATGCCGGGTTGCTGGGCAACTTCCTTCCGCCCTTCCCAAAGGGTACCAGATACATGGTCATTGGCAGAGTGAGTGATAACGAGCAAAAGGGGTGTCCACGGCTTAATTAGTGCCAGGATTCAGCCCAAGGACTTGGCTCCGGAGCATGTGAAGTAACGATGGTGGCGCTTCTGTGCGCAGAATGAAATTCTATCAGCAATTATTTAAGCCTTTCACTCGAGATGCATTCCTAGGCTGAGCCTGCAGCACTATACAAGCAACTCCTGCTTTAGGTGCGACCAAGCACAGGTGAACAGCGCCAAACCCGGATGTCATAAAGACATCACTAAAAGGGCAGAATGGGGACGAGGCAGAGCGTTTGGTTTTTCCAGCGGGTCTCTGATTTCATGCAAGCACACCGTGACCTAGAACGCAACCCCCACGTGAATGCGAGGTTGCCTGTAGTGTTTCATAGGGTATGGTATAGTGTGAGAGTGATCTTAGGCAAACCACTATCTCTCAACCTCAGCCCCACATCTGCAATATGGTTATAATAGTACTGGACTACCTTACAGGGCTGTGATAATGATTACTCCAATAATGCATGTGAAGTGCTTTGAACAGAAAAGAGCTGTTTTATTCCTTCTTATTCCCGACGCTCATGCTGCGAGTGCTGTTGCCTATGCTGCCAAAATGGCATCACACACACACACACACACACACACACACACAAAGGGAGAGAGTTTTTAAGATCTGCAGAAGTATGAAAAATATTTTTTGGGGGGTGGAACCTGATGGGGGAACAACCCAGCATGGGGGAACAACCTGAGCGTGCTTGGTGGGAGAAATCATAAAACTGAGAGGGTGGCGGAATAGAGTGGAGTGAATTTTGAAAGAGGGCATCACTGATTTATTAAATCAGTGAACAGGAACACTGGGCAGCTCAGTTGGTTAGAGCATGGTGCCCATAATGCCAAGGTTGCAGGTTCGATCCCTGTATCGGACAGCTGCATATTCCTGCATTGCAGGGGGTTGGACTAGATGGTCCTCAGGGCCCCTTCCAACTTTATGACAGGACAGGGCTTCCTACTGCAACATATTGTTGCAAGGCCCACTTGTAAATGCTTAGTAGGCTGGCCGAAGCAGAAAATCCATGATGAGACGCAGCCACTCACCTGCAGAAGTCTGTGTCTCATGTTTCCATGTTAGCATCTGCTCACCATTCCCTCTCTGTGTGCTTTTGCAGAACCTTCAAGCATCTCCCCATGCAGATTGATGGAGAGCCCTGGATGCAAGCCCCATGCACGGTAAGCACCTAGTGCAGGGCTGGGGAACTGGATTCCCCACCCCCATGGACCACATTTGTCCAGTGGAAGAGGCTGTTCACCTGTCAGTCACCTGACGCAAGCATGATGTGAGGAGAAGCATTTCCCTTTGCCTTCTCATTGAAGTCAAGCTGCGCTGCAAAGATGGATGCCTCTAGCCAGTCCCACTGGGGGTTACAGTCAGCACGGATTAGCTCGTTGGCTCTGATTGCAACCCTTGCTTTTGGCAGGGATCAGCTGCTATTTGCGAGCACCCTTTAAGGCTACCAATTGTTCCTTTACCTGCCCACGCCTGACATCACAGGTGGGCATGCTTTGGGGGAAACAGCTTTGTGGGTCGAATCAGGACCCCTTTCTGAAGCTGCCCAGTCAGGAAGCTGCTTCTCACCTCACCGATACAGATCCCGCCAGCGTAAGGCAAATCCCAAAGCTGCTGTACATTAGTTCCTGAGATGCGGAGCCTGTTGGGTTATGGGACCTGAGATGCTTTGTACTTCTTTCATTGATATGGATGCTATGTTTTGCTGGGTCGAAAAAGGGACGCAGCCATTGCTTTGTTCTACCATTGCAGGGGCACTATGCCATGTTAATAGAGTCCTTCTTAAGTGTTGCCACACCCTGTTTTCCTGTGTTTCCAGATCAAAATAACCCACAAGAACCAAGCCCCAATGCTCATCGCTCCACCTCCCCGATCCTCCAGTTTTTTCGGCTTGAAGAAGGGACCGCAGGAGCCCTAAAAGAAAAAGCGCTTCTGGGTCTATCAGAAGCCACGGTGATGCAGCTGGAGGCCTGTTGTCGGGATGCCCAATGCTCTTGCACAATGGGGGGAAGTCCTGCTCTCTATCACCACCACCAAACACAAACAGTTGAACAAGGTTTCTTGCTGCCTGGTACGTGGCAAAGCAGGTGGGCAGCTGCAGCCACAGCGCCTTTGCTTCCGCCACACAGATCGACGTTGCCAATTCCTTGAACCAGGGTGGGAGAGCTGTTGCAATACCCCTGCCATCGGGTGTTGTCCCTTGTGGGCTGCCTGCCTGTGCCGGTGCGCCCTTACCCCAAATTGTGTGGGTGCCAAATCCTCCTTCACTGACCACTCAAAAGGCCCTGTAAATTGTCTGCTCTTGCCCTTCCGGTTCTGTTCCTTGTAGGTTCTTACCCCTTGCACTCGAGGTTACTACTGAAAGACTGTGGCGGCACCGGCTCGCCTTTCCCGCTCCTCCCCTCTGTCCCCCTTTTATTTATTGCAACTCCATTCCAAGTCCTCCACTTAGCGTTCTCAGAAGTGCCTCAGCGTAGTAATAAAGAGTTGGGCTTGGATGGTGGTGGTTGTCCTGTTGTTGTAGCTGGTTTCTTTGGTTATGGGCAGACATGAAAGCCTGGGACATCGTGGGGCCACCAAATTTAAAATGGCTTATTTAAAATTCCCAAAAGATGAGATGTGCCGTGGCTTACTTTTGAGGTTTGGGAAAGGGGCAGGGGGAGTATGTGTGTTTGCGCATATGTGAAAGTACCCAAAAGCGATGTTACTGCTTTTGTGGTACCAGCCCAGATCGTGCATTGGTAGCTTTTAAAAACCTGTTGGGAAGAAAGGACGGAAAACTGGGCTCTGTTAGGAATGTGGCTCTTAGAAGACCTGCTGCTCCTTCTCTCTCGCTTGTTAGGAAGACCTGCTGCTCCTCCTCTGTCTCCTAAGGGTCAGTGGAGTGGTGAAATTAACTAGGTGGCATTTGCTAGCACTTCTCGAACATACTAGCCTGTTGTTGGGTTTTTCTTCTTCTTTGTTAAATGGATAGAAGAGGACAAGTATGGATGTGCAGCCTTTCTTTCACATAACAGGAACAAGCAGCCCTGCCTCTTCTGTCAGCCAGGAAGCCCCACAGCACACTCTGCAGAACGATTCCCCCATAAATCTGAGATCCCATCGCCCTTCTTTGTCTTGGGCCCCATCCTGGCATTACTCTGCCACATGCTTTCACCCAAGTCTGTGCTGCAGATCTTCCTATCTTGCTCATTCCACAGCAGCCTGCTCTCTCTCTCTTATCTCCTTCAGGGCAGAAACCTCTCTTTGGGAGAGCTGTACTTTATAAAAACTGTTCCTCGAAAGCCAGGCCTTCCTACTCTCCAGCTTCTCTAACTGCCCTGACAAGCTGCTGCTGCTTCCTTCCCATTGCTCTAGTGTACCCTGTGGCCACCAGTGACAGCTATGGTATGCTCACCAGGTACATGACATGTACAGCATCATGCAAGGGAATGTGGTTAACTAGGAGCCCATCTATGCAGAGGGACCATATCACTTCAGGCAGTAAATGAGGTGTGTTTTTGCAGCCTCTCCTTACTTAAAAGGCTTGCAGCATATACAAAACTGGCACACAATGAAGAAAGCTATTTTAAATCTTCTTTGATACATTAGTTTGCTGTGTAGATACAGGGAAAGGTGAGTGAGAGAGAGAGAGCGATATCTGGTTTTCAACATTGCAATATACTGGTATATCACAATGTCTGAAATAAGGGTGAAATAAGGGTATGATTTCATGGGTTTTTCCCCACATTGCGTTTTTTGCACAGCACACACACATACCATGACTCACAATATATCTTGCCAGGTTAAAAATTATGTAACTAGTATCACAATATGGACTTGAAACCAGTTTTGGATGATATGTCACCCAGCCCTATACCTCATTCAAGAGTGGCTTCACAGCCGGCATATTGGTAGAGATTAGGGGCAGCTGGTGCTTGGGGCAGGTGCTGGAGGGGCAGATCAGGATGTGGAGAAGGTCTAGGAAAGCAAGCGATTTAGCACCTCTGCAGGGTCTTGTGTCTTCCCTCCCACCCAGGCAGGCACTGAGATGGCACCATCAAGGAGTCTGAGTGTTTACTTGGCGGGTAATTTTAAAAAAAGAACAAGAATGCTGGGCGGGGTCAGTTTAGGGTGGAAGAACTGCAGAGGAGGACACTATCTCCTTTTGCAGGGCTGGCTCCACAAGGCATCTGGTTCAGTAGTTAGCAAGGCTTCCGTTGGCTTCCTTGGCCTTCGTCTCCATCTTTAGATCACGTTGCCACTCAGCAGTGGGCTGCTTTCCCCACTGGCCCCCTGCCCAAAAGCCTGGCGTAGGAAGAGGCGTACAGTGGTACGGTCAGGTAACCAGCTGCTGGGAGAGGTGCTGGCTGATGTCGCAGCACGGAGGGGTGTGTATTTCATATGCCTGTAGTGGAAGAAAACGGTGACAGTAAAACATTTAGTGAGCCACAGTTTTCTAGCTTGGTTCGTTCAGTGTTTCGAACAGAAATAATAAGGCTTTTAAGGCTTCTTCGTTCAGCAAAGCAGGTGGATTTTGGCCACGTAGGCTTGATCTACAGGCCATCCATGTCTCTGCTCAGAAGACCTTGGGCAATGGAGAGCTCCATGCTACTGAGTTGGCCATTCAAAGTGGTTAGTTTGAGGTTGGGATAGATTGCCAAGGATGGAGGAGATGGAAGACAAAGTACTGCGGGGAGCAATGACAGGTGAACTGTGGTAGAAATGGTTTGTGTGCAGAGGAAAGAAGAAAACTGACTTAGTTGAAGCCTTGGAGAGTAGACTGACTTATCTGCCCACAAGCTTTGAATGCAATGAACGTTCACTTTGGGGAGCTTTCCCATTCCACTGGCATGCTTTGCTATTTGCTAGAGCAGAAAGGTTTACAAGTTCTACAACTAACAGGGCTACTTTGGCTGGGTTTGGTCAGCTTGCCTCGCCTTTGCGCTGTAGTTTCCCCAAATATGAGGTGGAAGAAGTCGTCTTAAAGAGGCATCTTGCCTGGAAGAGCCCATGTGTCGCATGGAGGCTCTGGCACTTCCAGTTAGAGGAGCAGGAATGGGCCATGTTGGGCTCCAACTCCTATCAGCCTCCATCAAGCACGGTCAGTGGTCAAAGGTGACTGGAGTCGTAGTCCAGCAACAATCCGGAACGTCACATATCCCCCACCCCTGAGTCAAAAGCACAGGAAGCAGAGCTGGGAAAATCTTCTGCCTGCAATCTCAAAGGGCTACTGGCCATCACTGTTGGCCTAGATTGGACTACAATACCCATCATCCCTGCTAGCTAGGGATGATGGGAGTTGTAGCCCAAAAACAGCTGGAGACCCAAGTTTGGGAAATTCTGGCCTAGGTGGACTCGTGGGCTAGTTCAATATGTCAGCTGTAAATGTTCAAGAGATCAACCACCTCCCTGTGTTAGGTCCCACCCAAATGCCATAAGGCAGAGACAGCCAATATAGTGGCTTCAATGTAGTTGGACTACCAACTCCCATTGCCCCTGACTAGCTGAGGATGCTGGTGGAGTGCAAGAACATCTGAAGGGCACCACCTTGGCTAACCCCCTGCAGGAAAGATTTGATTGCTGTTAGGGGGCCGCCAGATTTACAGGCCTCTGGATCCTTCCCAGCTAGAGAAGGATGTGGTTATTAGGGCAGGCCTTGGCAAAATGCCTCCGTTCTCGGCGGAGAGGCTTTAACCAGCCCTACAACATTCCACTAGCTTCTGGACCGACACACTTTCTTGTTCCTCAGCTGTCTATAGGCTCCCATGCGGCTCAACAAAGGCTCACCTGTAGGTATAGGCAACAGCCCCTAAGGCAGCAGCGACCAGCACCACTCCAACAACTAGTGCAATTTGGGCTGAGCCTGAAGTTCTTGCGGCTGGAGAAGATAAGAGAAATTAATGTCTGCCCATTCAGCGAGAGAGAGAGGAGCGCACCATCTTTCCTTGGGGAACATGGATCAACCCTCAGGCTAGTCTCAGAAGGCATCCCTGCAGCTGCTCTGATAATGCATGCCATCAAAGAGCACGAAACACAGGGAGGCCACCCTCCTCCCCCCGGCCCATCCTTGGCCTTCCAGGGTGTTGAGAGCAAGGATAGGCACACCATCGCTGATACTGCAAGGAGAAACTGATGGGAGAGTTGTCTTCCCTTGCAAACCCCCAAGGTCCTTCTAAGCGTCAGGAGCAGAGAGAGCTCTTTGCCTCCCTGAGGTTTGGTCCTTACCCTGGATGCTGACTTGGGTGCTGGCCACAGCCAGGCTGTTGGCATCAGCCAGGGAGATGTTGACGCAGTAGATGCCAGACTGGTTGAAGGCCTGGCGCAGAACCAGCTGGCAGTCAGGGCTGGGCTGGGCCGGGATGCACACAGTCTCCTGGGCTGTCAAGCAGTCGGGGTCCGAGATGGTTGTGCAGACTTGCTCAGGGAGGCTGCAAGCAGGACAAGGCTATTTCGTTCAGGTGTTGGGAGCCAGTCCTCTCTCCCTCCCATGACCACAGCATTCTCCAGGTCACTGCTCTCCCTTTCTAGTATCGATGCAGCTTCATTGTGGCTACTCTCCCTCTCCCAGCTTCCCAAGGGACTGTCAAGTGTGTTCCAACATGTCACACACACGAACAGCACACACGCATGCTGCTCAGAGCTCCTTTGGCCCTGTTCCTAACTTCCTTTCATTCTCCACTAGTCCAGGGCTCCTTCCCAATGCCATTTCAATTGCGCATTCACAGTGATGCACACATGTGACGGTATTGGGGTAGTTTGACATGCTCCTGCTTTCAACACTATAAAAACCTGGGGGTTAGACATGCTGCTTTGCTTCCAAGTGGTCCGTGCCCCTTAACGTCCTGCAGAGATGCTATAACACTTCATACCACAAATGCTCTGGCATTTTCCTTACGCTTTTCCTGTGCCATAGCATGGGACCGTCCCTCCAGGTAGCACTTTACAACATCACTGGGGAAGCATCACCAAACAACTAATAAAGTGAAATGGTCTGTGGGGCAGTCCGGTATAAATCCACCGCTCATGCACTATTATTGCATCAATGACATTTTGCAGAATAACCGTCCCCCCAAAAACACCTATCTTGAAACAGCCCAACTCTACTTGCCCAGTGCTTCAGCCCATCATTTTTCAGCGGAAAAATGGAAGACCTTGGAGCCAGACCAAAAGAGGCTACTCCTACTTATGCAACCTACCTTCCTTGGCACGTCACTGTGAGATCTACCGTGTTCTCAGCAACGGCTGACACCAAAGGAACCACCTCCACAATTTCAACACCTTCGATGCCCTCTGCAATAAAGGAGAACAAGGATGTGCCTCTTTCTTGTTCTCCCTCTCGCCCTCCTTTCATTCCCTAGTTCTGACTGGGGTCCACCCCCAACTCTGCTTGCAGACAATCAACACTGGAAGCAAGGGAAATTTGCGAGATCTTTTGAAGGTGAGTTGAAAACTTGGGATGCCCAAAAGGAGAGACACCAAACTCAGCTGCTCAGGGGAGATGGATCTGCCTACCAGCAGAGTTGGGTACATTTTGAGATTATTAGTTTTTAGAACCAGAATGGAAATTATTTACACCCAGCCTCACATCTTCGTTCTTGCATCTAGCCACAAAGATTGCCACTTGGATCAGCCTCCATCCTCTTCTGGGGAGCCCAATGCTCTGTCACACTCCTTTGGCGGCTGTGAGGCTGAAGGTCTTGGTACTTGCAAATTGGTCTTAATTTGGAAACTAGAAGCCTCTTCATTTAAATTAGGGGTGAGTAATCCCAAGTATTTTTGGAATCACAGCTCCCATCTGCAGGGTCAATGGCCGCAGATTATGAGAGCTGTAGTTCAACAATATCTGGAAGGGTAAAGGTAAAGGGACTCCTGACCATTAGGTCCAGTCGTGGCCAACTCTGGGGTTGCAGCGCTCATCTCGCTTTATTGGCCGAGGGAGCCGGCGTACAGCTTCCGGGTCATGTGGCCAGCATGACTAAGCCGCTTCTGGCAAACCAGAGCAGCGCACGGAAACGCCGTTTACCTTCCTGGCAGAGCAGTACCTATTTATCTACTTGCACTTTGACGTGCTTTTGAACTGCTAGGTTGGCAGGAGCAGGGACTGAGCAATGGGAGCTCACCCTGTCGCGGGGATTCGAACCGCTGACCTGATCGGAAAGTCCTAGGCTCCACTGAGCACCATCTCCTTCCCTTAATATTGCCCAATGTGAGCAACAGAGTTTAGTGGTCATCCTTGCGCACATCTCTCTCTCTCTCTCTCTCTCATACACACACACCCCGTCCCCAGGACTCACGGACAATGTCCAGGTTAGTTTCGAAGGTCCCATAGCGGTAGAGGAGGCAGCCAGCAGGCGCCTGGCGTTTCACCAAGACCTGGACCACTTCAGTCGCCACCGTTCCAGCATCTGGGACGACGGACACAGTCAGGTCGATGGTTGCTGCATCTTCAGCGGCATCTGTTGGGGGAACAAGGCCAAAGGAACAATAATGTCTCCTTTCCCTCCCCCACGTTCTTCCCCCACCCCCAAAGCCTTGTTCTGCATGCGTCTCAAAAGCAAGGATCACAGGAGGATAATAGCCGCAGGCAGTGGCTGAGCAAGCTGTGTTAAAAGACACAAAGTGGTTCTTCCTCTCTGTTGAGAGGATCTGAGAAGGCTGCAAGGACGTTTGCAGGTTGTGCTGGGTAGGACGGACGAGCGGGTTTAAGGAGAACCATCTGCAAGGGAAGCTGGGCGCAGGATGAGCAACAGGAACACGAGAGCTGATTAAAATGGCAGGTGAGGCATCCATGGGGAGAGGAGTGCCACCCTCTCGAATGCTCGGTCCGAAATCACAACTCTGCAAGGAGCTGAATCAGATGGGGGAAGTTTTGCAGGTGCTCCAGTGTATCCACATCTTCAACAGAAAGGCTGGACTTGACCATCACGCACCTTCATGCGAATGACCTCAAATTGCTGCCTTCGCTGCCCATCTCCCATCCCTGAGCCCCTGCCTTCAGCAAGGTCAACACAGCAAGCTATCCTCCATTTGAGGGAAAGGGTAAAGACAGCCACGGTGAATAAGCATGGCTGGGTGTTTCGGGGCCCCGTGCTGAATCTCAAGCAAGGCAAGGAATCTCCTGCCAGCTAGACCTACCTGCCGCTGATGGAGAGAGCGGGGTGTCGGCCACGCTAGGGAGTGTTGTTGATGCCCCAGGAAGCTCTGCTGTAGATGCCACTGGAGACAAAACCGCGGGTGCCAGAGTGCCTGGGTCACCTTCAGGCGCCGCTGCGGAGGGAGAATCAGGTGCCACAGTGCCTGGCAGAGATGCAGCCGCCGCGGTGGACACAGATGCAGAAGCCGTGGTGGCTGGGAGGGATGCTGCCGCTGCCG